AGGGGGTGCGCAAGGTGCGACCGGATCCCTTCAGACCTCCGTGCAGATGACGCGTCATGAGGCTGCAGCTGCATGGAGCACTTATACTAACATGTGATAGTCACTGGCTGCATGTGCAAAGGTCAAGGCGATGGTGGAAACCCCCGTTAGACCAGACGGTCACAAATCTTAGTGTTTGGCCACAGGCTGTTTTGGGCTGCGCCGTGCTGCAGCAGCTGGGTGCCAAGGCTTTCACTTTTTGGCCGTTCAGCCCATCAGGGTCCCTGTAGAGCGGGGGGCATGTGAGAGGAAGCTCCCTTTCATGCAGTCCAAACGAGTCGGCTCTTTCTGATGTTGGCATGTGAGAAGCTTGATGCTGTCTTTGCGGCTTCTGTGGCTAAGAACGTCAATTCCAGACTCTAGATCATTCAGTGTTTGCGGTTGCCAAAGCTGCTCTTGCGGTCACGATCGCCAGCCGTTTTGCCCAAGCCAAGATATCACCGCACCGAGCAATCGTTCGGGAATGACGTGCGTGCTATGGCTGATTTTGGCGGTGGCTGCTCAGCTATGTGGAGCCTCGGAAAGCTCTTGCACGTCCGCGGCAGAGCTTCCACAAGATGGATCTGATTGCAGCGCCTTTTTGCAATCTTCAACGCGCCGCGCCACGGCCCCAGAGGCGGTGGTGGCTCCGGAGAAGATCGGAAGCGGCAGCCAGATCAAGGCCAGTTGGCCAGGAATGTGGCGACCATGGCTCAAGCGATGGAGGCAGCAGCGGCACAGTTACTATTACAATGTCGACAATGCCCCATCTGACAACGGTGACAATGCCCCAGACGAGGAAAGCACGCTACCTGTCGCGCTGGCGATCTTCCTCGAAGTTCTTCCCTACGGCCAAGGATATGCAGTGCAACAATACCTGAACTTCACAGAGGACAACGAAACCTTTGGCAGCAGTGTCACAGCGTTGGTTGGTTTAAACGCGACGGATTGCGAGGTGGACTTCATTGGCCTTGACTTCTCTGCCTTCGATGACGTCAGCATCACGGGGGATGCGCCATCGAAGCTGAAGCTTGCCCAAATCAAGCAGGCAAGCAGCGTCAACGTTCAGAACTTCGACGGGGACTTACTGCTCGCCTTCATTCAATGCCAGTTGCCACCTGAGGCATCGCCCATGGCAGTGGAAAGTTCGCTTGAAAGTTCGTCCGTGGCAGCGGACTTCAAAAGCCTCTTAGCAGGCTTGGGAGTTTCTGGACTCGGTCAGGCAGAGCTCGTCGACATTGATATCGGATTCGCCCTGCTGCAATCTTCCACTCGCTCGGAACCAGAAATCACAGCCCCAACAAAGCAGGTGTCCCCGGAGAAGATCGGAGGCATGAGCCGGGCAAAAGCCCTGCACCACTGGTTCAAGCGATGGATGAAGCGCGGGCGCTACTACAATGCCGACAATGCTTCACCTGACGAGGGTGACGGTGACAATGCACCATCCGACAACGGTGACAATGCTCCATCCCCCTTCGAAGGCATGGAAGTTGCCACGCTGTTTATTGCCATCGAAGTGACCGATGCACAGGATGCTCAAGATCAACTAGCACCACTCATAGCAGGGGCCAGCAGCAACGTCTCCACAATCTTTGGTTCGCTGTGCCCGGCCGTTGGTCTCCAGGGCTTCGAGATGTCGGCCTTCGCTGACCCGGGCCCGACGTTCAAGGGCCATGCGTCCTTGCTCGCCGAGCTCAAGCAGGCAAAGAACGCGAAGGTTCAGAGTTTTGAGGGCGACTTACTCCTAGCCCTCGCCATCTGCTTGCACCCATCGGAGACGTTCGAACTTTGGAAGCAGGGACTTGAAACTCAAAAAGACCTTCTGGCAGAAAGCTTCAAGAACCTCCTCATAAACCTGGGGCTTCCTGCTGGAGATGTGGGGGCCGCAGCGATCGCCGGCATACGTACTGATTACGAGCCAGAGTAGTCATGGCTTCTGCAAACATTCGCAGACAAGCTTGTGAAAGTGCAGGCACCTTTTCCTTTAAGTGACGCCATCGTTTGTCCGATGAAGTCATCGCTTCTGCAACCATTGCAGACAAGCTTGTGGAAGCACAAGCACCTTTAACTGACGCCATCGTTTGTCCGATATTGACCGACAGGTGACCCATCGTTTGTCCGATAACGACCTGCCGAGATAAAGCTGTCGGTGCCGGATCCTACTGCTGTGCTTGTAGGCTGCAGTGTTGCCAGTGACAATGGGCCGCATCGGTTTCAGGTTCTGGGAACATCTGCCGGCCTTCTTTCAACCCAGGCGCGGACGTATTCCGGCACCAGGGTCGTACGCTGCGAGCACGCGGACTTGGCAAGCGTCGGCCAAGAGCTGCTCGTGCGCCGGCGCCTAGCGGCACAGCTCAGGCGTGTCGCCGCCCTCCGCATGCAGTGAGGTCAGAGCCTAAGCCTTGGGAGTTGTGATCTGGGAGTGGGCAGTCTGGGCAGGCGTCACAGCAGCTTGGATGCTTCGCTGGTCACTGAGTCTGCGGCCGTCCTGGACGGAAATGCCTGGAGCTTGGCATCTCCAAAAAAGTCGATCGTGAGTTCTTCCACTGACTCATTGAGCGCCAAGCTGTGTCTGCTGCTCCTCAGAAGTGTCTCTGCAGTACCGAGACTTCTGTTGTGTTTCAGTGGTGCTCGGTGCTCAGGGCATGGCAACCCGGACACTTGCATATGTTGGTGTAGTAGACAGCAAAATGTCCAAATAGCAAACACGGGCTTTGTGGTGGTCTACTCTTCGCATGCAGTCAGCAAGGAGAGGCATGGCGAAGTCAGGTGGGTCAGCAGCTGCTCTGCGAAACGTCAGCCCAGTTCCATTGTGCTGGATCCCCCTGAAGAGACTTCACGAAAGTTTACATAGAGCCTAGTGTTTCTTGCCGACTAGCACAGACTTATCTTCGAATCGGTTCTTGGTTGCCTCTTACCAAGCACGCGACGAGCTCCCCACGACAAAGAACAGAATCTTGAAGGAATCCTACTCGCGGTAGGAGCCTGTGTGTATTGGAGACACGAAGCTGCGCCAAACCCTAGACAGGTTCGAAGCAGTCATGTATAGATGTATGTATATATGAGTACACAAAGGCGCACACACACACATATGTAGATCGATAGACGGAGGGGTAGACAGACAGACAGATCGACAGACAGCATACCCCTAAACATACACGCAGAAGTATTCGTCTTGGGCATACCTGCATGTGCTCATACATGCATTCACGTATGCATGCTTACGTACGTGCACACACACACACACACACACGCATCCATGCATACATAGAAACATGGATGCAGGAGATACATACATACATACATACATACATGCACTGGCATGTATGCGTACATGCGTGGCTACGTGCAATGAGGGCTGCTAGTCCGTGGTTCGGATATCAGCATGTCCTCAGGCATGAGGGGAAGTCCATTGCTTCATGTCAGAAGCGTCATGAGCCCTCAACTCTGGCAATGCTCGACAGGTTCAGAATTTGCCCATGTTGCGTCAGGTCACCAGTCGCAGCAACCTTGCAATGCAGGATTGGGCGCCAAACCCTGAGCAGAACCATCTCAAGCTTGCGATGCGATGGCGATGACTCTGCACAAGCGTCTTTGCGCCGATCCGGATGCCGCCGAATGCGAAGGAACAGGCCACGGAGCACAAGTTTGGATTTTAGACAGGGTTTTGGCAGGGTGCATAGGCATGGACATGCATGGCATGAATGCTTAGGGGTTTGGGGTTTGCGGGCCTTGGTGGAAAGTGCTGCTTACATACGCTGTTGCTTTGTTTCCCAATCTGGGTGAAGCTGCCCCTCGACAAAAGATTTCGAGTCTTCAGATGAAAGACGGATTCATGATTCTTTCGTGTCATTCATTGCTTGGTACTCTTATACTGATGAGGCCCCAAACTTACGACCAGTGGGGTGTCTGAAGCCCGGCACTTAGCAAGCCCAGGCCCAGGTGCTTATGCAGCGGCGGGCTGCTCAACTCTGGCGCCGGCAGAGCCAGCGGATGCCTGTCTGCACGGTTTAGGGTTTAGGGTTTAGGGTTTAGGGGCACATAAGAGAGCAACCGCTCCTGGCATGGATGGCCGCAGCATGCACTGGGATCGTTCAGATTTCTTGAGCTCGTCGGTTAGAAACCCTGCTCACCCCAGACTGGGTGGCAGATGTTTCCCCATCAATTTCCAAGGAAACTGACATCAACATCGCCAACTCTTGGAAACACTAGTCTGATTCGCAGACTCGCAGTTGACTTTTCGACCCCAAGCTTACAGCATTTGCACGTTAATGCTGGAAGTACACAGTGTTGTGGTTGCTCCTGCTGATCATGACGATGGTGATGTTGATGATGTTGGTTCTGATGCCCATCGTCATACGTTGATGTCACAGACGTCGCGGATCCAAGGAGGGCCAAAGAGCACCTCGTGTCAAGGTATGTGGCAACCTTGAAGGAGGCTGGAGTGATATGTCTGAATCGGAAGCTGTTGATGAAAGCATCATGCCGAGTGAAACTGCTGGACTTTGGCATATGGGTAGTTGTCAAAAATTCGGCCCCTTCTTGGGTGCCTTAAATATTAGGTGCCGTATTATATTAAGGACCCAAAAAGGGACCCTAGTTTTGACAACCACCCATATCGCCAGATCCCGACTTGGGGCTTGTGCTGGTGCTTCTGCAGAGCTTCATGGTTGGAAGTTCGAAGTTGGACTGCCTGAAAAGAGCATGGTGTCGTCATCCTCATGCTCGTAGAACGAACGAATGGCAGGACTAGCGGACTACGGGAAATCGTGCTTCAATTGTTCAGTTTAGGCTTGGTTTCACATCATCGTGAAGCATGCATGGCAAGCTGAGGCTGAATAGCGAACCCTCGGCCGCAAACAAAATCATGTCGGGGTTGCCACAGCTGTAGCGTAGCCGCACTGCAGATCTACTTCTAGATCTGCTTCTGGAGCACTTGCAGTCGAGCACGCCTGCCCGACGTCGGGATAAAAGTTGAGGTGATGAACATGGAGATTCTGCGGAATTTTCAAGCTAAGCTGCCTTCCCAAGCTCAACGGGACAAAGGGGCGCGGTCGTTCGGACATGGGCAGTTGACCCTCATCCCTAAAGCCCTTGATGAAAAGCCTCCAGAAGTAGCAGGGTCAGCCCTCTGCTCGCGAACTGGTCGCAGAGCTGTCCGCAGCTCAGCCGCGCAAATGCACTGCAGCTATCAAGATGTTTATTATTAATATTATTACTATTATTACTATTATTGCTATTATTGCTATTATTACTAGTATTACTATTATTATTTTTTATGTTTATTTTTACTATTATTACTATTATTACTATTATTACTATTATTACTATTATTACTATTATTACTATTATTACTATTATTACTATTATTACTATTTTTACTATCATTACCATTATTACTATTATTATTTTTTATTTTTAATTTTACTATTATTACTATTATTACTATTATTACTATTATTTTTGTTAATATTATTACTATTATTATTATTATTATTATTAGTATTTGCCTTCGAGGCTTCGGACTTGGGCTCGGGTTTTGGGGTTTGTGGGAGTGCGGAGGCGTGGGGGGAGGGGCTTCGGGTGGGGATGGGGTCTGCGAGTCGAGTTGGCTATAATAATAATAATAGCAACAAAAAATAATAGTAATAATAGTACTAATAACCATAGCTTCATAATTAACATTCCCTTTTGGGTGTACGTCTACCCAGCCTCCAATCGCCATGCCGCCATGCCAAAGCTGCTTTTCGACTGGGTTTTCAACGGGTCTGTACCTCCCCACGCATTATCCATCCCTGATGTTGCATTGTGAGGCGGCTTGGCCATGCTCTTCTCGATGCAACAAATGCACTACCACATTCATGCACAAGGATACTATTGCTACTATTCTGTTCCATAGGCCCATGTCTGTGTGACTGACTGCCACGCAGGACTTGTTTTACTCTTGTACTGGCCTAGTGATACTGATACCAGCACTTATATCCATATTAATACTAATACTAATACTAATACTAGTAGTAATACTATTACGAATACTAATACTAGTATGTAACTGTAAGCCTTCTGCGCCGACTGAAAGAGGGTTGTTCCCAGGTCCGTGTCGATGTACCTGAAAGTTAGAGTCTGCAAAGAAGTGCAACATGTGATCGACAGACGTGGGAGGGTCAACTACATTAGACCTTTCCGGAAGCAAAAACGCCATGAGTTCAATGAGTTTTGCCGACTTGCCCGAAATCCCAACGATGATTCCACAAGTTGGACGCGACCCAGGACGAGCATCGCTCGTCGGTGGAAGCGTTGCGATGCGGTGGTCACCAGCCTGCAAGACATCTCTAGATTTGTTGATCGTCTATGGTGGCTTCAGGTTCTCTGTAAAGTCAGCGAATGTCCAGGGCGGTGTGGCATTCCGGTTTTCTCTTCTGCTGCAGGTTCTGATGAAGTTCTTGGACGCTATGATGGGAAGGTTCAGGCGCGGGCATGCGGCCACAGGATAGTTTTGTTCCACCTCTGATCAGCTAATGTATGCACCTGCTGGACGTGTACATCTACAATTAGTTAACTTAGCCAGCATCAGCAGCACCTGTGCGTTCATTCGCAGGTCAAGGGCCCTCGAAGATATAGTGCACGAACTCGGTTCGGTGTCGACGAAGTCGCTGATAGTTTGCTGTCCCCGCTTCGAATCGCAAGAAGCTTATAGGCTTGATTATCGACATTCGTTGATTCGCAGAGGCGAAGTAGAGAGAACTCTCCCCGGCAAGGATCTCGAGCACCTGCTGATTCATCCTAGAGTTGAAAGTGGAAAGCTCTTTAAGCGTACCAATGAGCAGCGGGTTAATATTGATCTAGCTTGTCTATGCGTCCCTAAACCCTAAACCCTAAAGCCTAAATCCGAATTTCAGAAGGTGTCCGAGTGCTGCTTCCCGGGAAGCCGGGGCCGGGGTTGGGAGCAGGGACGGGGCTGAAAGATGAAACTTGCTCTTTCGCAGCGGGGGATTGGGGTGGGGAGGAGAAGTGAAAGAGTAAGCTGTATCTTGCATGCATGCCGGGGGGGGGTGGAGGAGGAGTGAAGGATGAAACTTTGTTTTCACTGCGGGGGGTTCGGGCGGGTGGGGGGGTGGAAAGATCAAGGATTGTTTTACTGTGGGGGTTGTCCATGGATTCATCTCTTACCCCTCCTCCCCGCCGACCCCCCTCGGTGTGAAAGAACCAGTTGCGTCTTTCACCCCCGTCCCCACTCCAGCCCACCGCCGCAAAAGACAAGGTTTCATCTTTCACCCTCGTCGCCGCGCCATGCAAGTGAATCATCTTTCGCCCCTCCCCCGCCCCAACCCCTTCGCTGTGAAAGATAAACTTCCTTCTTTCACCCCTGCTCCCCGCCCCAACCCCTGCCGTCAAAGATAAAGTGTTCTCCTTCACCCCTCCTCCACTTCCCAAGCCCCGCCATGAAAGAGAAAGTTTCATCCTTCACCCCTCCCCACGCCCCAACCCCCTGCCGTGAAAGACAAAGTTGAATTTTTCATCCGTGTTCCCGCTCCCAACCCCCCGCCGTGCAAGATAAAGTTTCATCATTCACCCGTCTTCCCTGTCCCCAACCCTCGCCGTGAAAGATCATCAATCTAATCTTTCACCCCCGTTCCCGCTCCCAACCCCCCCCCGCCATGAAAGATAAAATTCTTCATCTTTCACCCCTGCTCTGCTCCAGGGTCCCAACCCAAACCCCCGAGGTGAAAGATAGATTTCGTCTTTCACCGAATCCCCCCCCGCCGAAAGTTCAAGTTTCATCGTTCACCCCTGCCCGCGCCCTACCTCCCTGCCGTCAAAGAGAAAAGTTATTCTTTCACGCCTCTCTCCGCCCCAACCTACCGTCGTGAAAGATCGAATTTAAGCTTTCACATGCTTTCACCCCTCTTCGCGCGCCGAACACCCTGCCGTGAAAGATAGCATTTCATCTGTCACCCCCCCCCCCCACCGTGAGATATGAAATGTTATCTTTCACCACCCTCCCCGCCCCCACCCCGCGCTGCGACAGATAAAAAATCCTTCCCCGCCATGAATGATACGATTTAACTTAGATAATTGTTTATCTTTCGTCCCCTCCCGTCTCCAACCCTGCGATGTGAATCAACACCCGAGCTCACCGCAGTGAAAGATTTGCATCTTTCCCCCCCTCTCCTCGACCACAATCCACCGCCCCGATTCTTCTCTTTCATCCCCGTCTCCTCTCATCTTTCACCCACCTCTCCCCGCCCCCAACCCTTAGTGGTAAAAGATGTTGAATCTAATTTTTCACCCTCGTCACCGCCCGCAACTCCCCGCTGTGAGAGATAAAGTTGTTTTTTCGTACTGTGTATATGCCGAACCTTCGTCTTGCTGCATCATCAGCATCAGCTAAACGAGCAGATTTTGAGATGAATCGTGCCACGATCATCAGCAGATTTTTCGAACTCAACAGGAAATGCATCATGAGCATCAGCATATTTCAGGATCAACCAGTTCATCCGGCCCAGACCCAGCCCCCAGCAACCCCCAGCCCCCAGCCCATGAAAGATGGGAACAATGTGTAGCAGAGAAACCCGCTCAAGACTTTCGCTCAAGCTTATCGGCACCCAACCCTTACTTTAGCAACCTGTATGAATTCCTGAGCCCATATCTCGAAGCCCTAACTGTTAAAGCCTGAAAACCCGGCAGCCTTAGGCCCAAAGTTGGCCCTCATTGCGAGAGGCACTGCCTGGCGGTCCTAGCGGCGGCTCAACGCAGGATGGGAGGGGGGCCAGCTTATATTGCCATTCTGCCACCTGGATGTATCTTCAGCTATGTTACTTGATGATATGTCCTGCAATGCTAATGCTAACCTATGATATGCTTCGCTAAGCTATACTAGGTTGCGTTGTGTTGCATTGCGTCGTGTTGTGTTGTGATCTGTGCTGTGTACGTTATGTATGTTATGTATGTAATTATCTATGCATGCATGCATGCCAGGTGCAAGTAAGGTAGCGTACAACGTGGCGCAATGCAAGGTACATATGTAGGCAACTATATTAGTTAGTTAGTTAGCTAGCTAGTTTTAATGTTCATGTTAAATTTTAATGTTACTGTTAATGTTGGCTATTTAGTTCGTAATTAAGCAAGTATGCATGTGCGTATGCCTGCATGCATGCATGTGTGTGTGTGTGTGTGTATGTGTCGTCAGGGCTACACCCCTCATTGACCCTTATCGTACCCGCATTCAAAAGTTCTGATAGCCTGTGCAACTGTTTGGTACTTGGGCTGCTTTATTCTCAGATTTTTACATATTACTCACCCCGACTACCATCCTCCGCGGATGTCTTGGCTGTGGGCTTTGCCACACCATTGAGTTTAGGCTCTCGTGATGTATGGTCGAGCATGCGCTAACTTTTGCAACAGAGTCTACCGACCTAGAACTGCTTCCACCACAAAAGGCGCTGAGCTTTGTCTCGTGCTTCGCCAGTGCTTGGGACGAGCGGGTCGCTCAGCTTGAATGCCAGTGCGTGAGGTTGCGAAACCCTACATGAACCCTGCCTTGCAGGCAGTGGGCATTAGCATGCTTCTCTGCCACCGGAATCGAGCCTCTAACATTGGAAGAGGTTGCCGCGAATGGTTGCTCGCTGTGCTGATGTTGTGTAGAAATGCGTGACTGACGATTTCATATTATGCATACAGGCGTCCTGCAAACAGTGTCAAGAAGCGCCATGGGTACGAAGGACTTCTTGCCTTCAAGGAGACAACACAGTATCTCTCCGGTTTGCTCAGCTTGCTGCTGACACAGCGTCAGCACCGTTCTAGCGACAGAACTAGCAAGGATGAGCTATAACTCCCAAGTTCAATAGGTCTTCTTCCGGGACCCTTCTCCTTACCCGCCTGATGTGGTTCGCAACCTCCTCCGTCTGAACGATCACCTGATGCTGAGGCGCCGACCGGCACCCCCTGAGTCATCGCCTCATCACGATGCGAGTGTTTCGATTGAGTTTCCGGACATCTCCAATGGGCCGTTGGGTTGCTCCTTTGTCAGCCGCACACTGTCCATGCTGTCGGAGCTGACGTACCCGAAGTCCACCTCGGGCGGTTTCCACCACGATGGGCGCAAGTGCGATTCAAGCAGCGGTGTGGTGGACTTTGGACAGCTTAGCTCAGCTTGCTCCTGGAGCTGCTCATGGGGCCCCCAGGCATTGCGGCCATCTCGCGTGTGCAGGGGGTGCGCAAGGTGCGACCGGATCCCTTCAGACCTCCGTGCAGATGACGCGTCATGAGGCTGCAGCTGCATGGAGCACTTATACTAACATGTGATAGTCACTGGCTGCATGTGCAAAGGTCAAGGCGATGGTGGAAACCCCCGTTAGACCAGACGGTCACAAATCTTAGTGTTTGGCCACAGGCTGTTTTGGGCTGCGCCGTGCTGCAGCAGCTGGGTGCCAAGGCTTTCACTTTTTGGCCGTTCAGCCCATCAGGGTCCCTGTAGAGCGGGGGGCATGTGAGAGGAAGCTCCCTTTCATGCAGTCCAAACGAGTCGGCTCTTTCTGATGTTGGCATGTGAGAAGCTTGATGCTGTCTTTGCGGCTTCTGTGGCTAAGAACGTCAATTCCAGACTCTAGATCATTCAGTGTTTGCGGTTGCCAAAGCTGCTCTTGCGGTCACGATCGCCAGCCGTTTTGCCCAAGCCAAGATATCACCGCACCGAGCAATCGTTCGGGAATGACGTGCGTGCTATGGCTGATTTTGGCGGTGGCTGCTCAGCTATGTGGAGCCTCGGAAAGCTCTTGCACGTCCGCGGCAGAGCTTCCACAAGATGGATCTGATTGCAGCGCCTTTTTGCAATCTTCAACGCGCCGCGCCACGGCCCCAGAGGCGGTGGTGGCTCCGGAGAAGATCGGAAGCGGCAGCCAGATCAAGGCCAGTTGGCCAGGAATGTGGCGACCATGGCTCAAGCGATGGAGGCAGCAGCGGCACAGTTACTATTACAATGTCGACAATGCCCCATCTGACAACGGTGACAATGCCCCAGACGAGGAAAGCACGCTACCTGTCGCGCTGGCGATCTTCCTCGAAGTTCTTCCCTACGGCCAAGGATATGCAGTGCAACAATACCTGAACTTCACAGAGGACAACGAAACCTTTGGCAGCAGTGTCACAGCGTTGGTTGGTTTAAACGCGACGGATTGCGAGGTGGACTTCATTGGCCTTGACTTCTCTGCCTTCGATGACGTCAGCATCACGGGGGATGCGCCATCGAAGCTGAAGCTTGCCCAAATCAAGCAGGCAAGCAGCGTCAACGTTCAGAACTTCGACGGGGACTTACTGCTCGCCTTCATTCAATGCCAGTTGCCACCTGAGGCATCGCCCATGGCAGTGGAAAGTTCGCTTGAAAGTTCGTCCGTGGCAGCGGACTTCAAAAGCCTCTTAGCAGGCTTGGGAGTTTCTGGACTCGGTCAGGCAGAGCTCGTCGACATTGATATCGGATTCGCCCTGCTGCAATCTTCCACTCGCTCGGAACCAGAAATCACAGCCCCAACAAAGCAGGTGTCCCCGGAGAAGATCGGAGGCATGAGCCGGGCAAAAGCCCTGCACCACTGGTTCAAGCGATGGATGAAGCGCGGGCGCTACTACAATGCCGACAATGCTTCACCTGACGAGGGTGACGGTGACAATGCACCATCCGACAACGGTGACAATGCTCCATCCCCCTTCGAAGGCATGGAAGTTGCCACGCTGTTTATTGCCATCGAAGTGACCGATGCACAGGATGCTCAAGATCAACTAGCACCACTCATAGCAGGGGCCAGCAGCAACGTCTCCACAATCTTTGGTTCGCTGTGCCCGGCCGTTGGTCTCCAGGGCTTCGAGATGTCGGCCTTCGCTGACCCGGGCCCGACGTTCAAGGGCCATGCGTCCTTGCTCGCCGAGCTCAAGCAGGCAAAGAACGCGAAGGTTCAGAGTTTTGAGGGCGACTTACTCCTAGCCCTCGCCATCTGCTTGCACCCATCGGAGACGTTCGAACTTTGGAAGCAGGGACTTGAAACTCAAAAAGACCTTCTGGCAGAAAGCTTCAAGAACCTCCTCATAAACCTGGGGCTTCCTGCTGGAGATGTGGGGGCCGCAGCGATCGCCGGCATACGTACTGATTACGAGCCAGAGTAGTCATGGCTTCTGCAAACATTCGCAGACAAGCTTGTGAAAGTGCAGGCACCTTTTCCTTTAAGTGACGCCATCGTTTGTCCGATGAAGTCATCGCTTCTGCAACCATTGCAGACAAGCTTGTGGAAGCACAAGCACCTTTAACTGACGCCATCGTTTGTCCGATATTGACCGACAGGTGACCCATCGTTTGTCCGATAACGACCTGCCGAGATAAAGCTGTCGGTGCCGGATCCTACTGCTGTGCTTGTAGGCTGCAGTGTTGCCAGTGACAATGGGCCGCATCGGTTTCAGGTTCTGGGAACATCTGCCGGCCTTCTTTCAACCCAGGCGCGGACGTATTCCGGCACCAGGGTCGTACGCTGCGAGCACGCGGACTTGGCAAGCGTCGGCCAAGAGCTGCTCGTGCGCCGGCGCCTAGCGGCACAGCTCAGGCGTGTCGCCGCCCTCCGCATGCAGTGAGGTCAGAGCCTAAGCCTTGGGAGTTGTGATCTGGGAGTGGGCAGTCTGGGCAGGCGTCACAGCAGCTTGGATGCTTCGCTGGTCACTGAGTCTGCGGCCGTCCTGGACGGAAATGCCTGGAGCTTGGCATCTCCAAAAAAGTCGATCGTGAGTTCTTCCACTGACTCATTGAGCGCCAAGCTGTGTCTGCTGCTCCTCAGAAGTGTCTCTGCAGTACCGAGACTTCTGTTGTGTTTCAGTGGTGCTCGGTGCTCAGGGCATGGCAACCCGGACACTTGCATATGTTGGTGTAGTAGACAGCAAAATGTCCAAATAGCAAACACGGGCTTTGTGGTGGTCTACTCTTCGCATGCAGTCAGCAAGGAGAGGCATGGCGAAGTCAGGTGGGTCAGCAGCTGCTCTGCGAAACGTCAGCCCAGTTCCATTGTGCTGGATCCCCCTGAAGAGACTTCACGAAAGTTTACATAGAGCCTAGTGTTTCTTGCCGACTAGCACAGACTTATCTTCGAATCGGTTCTTGGTTGCCTCTTACCAAGCACGCGACGAGCTCCCCACGACAAAGAACAGAATCTTGAAGGAATCCTACTCGCGGTAGGAGCCTGTGTGTATTGGAGACACGAAGCTGCGCCAAACCCTAGACAGGTTCGAAGCAGTCATGTATAGATGTATGTATATATGAGTACACAAAGGCGCACACACACACATATGTAGATCGATAGACGGAGGGGTAGACAGACAGACAGATCGACAGACAGCATACCCCTAAACATACACGCAGAAGTATTCGTCTTGGGCATACCTGCATGTGCTCATACATGCATTCACGTATGCATGCTTACGTACGTGCACACACACACACACACACACGCATCCATGCATACATAGAAACATGGATGCAGGAGATACATACATACATACATACATACATGCACTGGCATGTATGCGTACATGCGTGGCTACGTGCAATGAGGGCTGCTAGTCCGTGGTTCGGATATCAGCATGTCCTCAGGCATGAGGGGAAGTCCATTGCTTCATGTCAGAATCGTCATGAGCCCTCAACTCTGGCAATGCTCGACAGGTTCAGAATTTGCCCATGTTGCGTCAGGTCACCAGTCGCAGCAACCTTGCAATGCAGGATTGGGCGCCAAACCCTGAGCAGAACCATCTCAAGCTTGCGATGCGATGGCGATGACTCTGCACAAGCGTCTTTGCGCCGATCCGGATGCCGCCGAATGCGAAGGAACAGGCCACGGAGCACAAGTTTGGATTTTAGACAGGGTTTTGGCAGGGTGCATAGGCATGGACATGCATGGCATGAATGCTTAGGGGTTTGGGGTTTGCGGGCCTTGGTGGAAAGTGCTGCTTACATACGCTGTTGCTTTGTTTCCCAATCTGGGTGAAGCTGCCCCTCGACAAAAGATTTCGAGTCTTCAGATGAAAGACGGATTCATGATTCTTTCGTGTCATTCATTGCTTGGTACTCTTATACTGATGAGGCCCCAAACTTACGACCAGTGGGGTGTCTGAAGCCCGGCACTTAGCAAGCCCAGGCCCAGGTGCTTATGCAGCGGCGGGCTGCTCAACTCTGGCGCCGGCAGAGCCAGCGGATGCCTGTCTGCACGGTTTAGGGTTTAGGGTTTAGGGTTTAGGGGCACATAAGAGAGCAACCGCTCCTGGCATGGATGGCCGCAGCATGCACTGGGATCGTTCAGATTTCTTGAGCTCGTCGGTTAGAAACCCTGCTCACCCCAGACTGGGTGGCAGATGTTTCCCCATCAATTTCCAAGGAAACTGACATCAACATCGCCAACTCTTGGAAACACTAGTCTGATTCGCAGACTCGCAGTTGACTTTTCGACCCCAAGCTTACAGCATTTGCACGTTAATGCTGGAAGTACACAGTGTTGTGGTTGCTCCTGCTGATCATGACGATGGTGATGTTGATGATGTTGGTTCTGATGCCCATCGTCATACGTTGATGTCACAGACGTCGCGGATCCAAGGAGGGCCAAAGAGCACCTCGTGTCAAGGTATGTGGCAACCTTGAAGGAGGCTGGAGTGATATGTCTGAATCGGAAGCTGTTGATGAAAGCATCATGCCGAGTGAAACTGCTGGACTTTGGCATATGGGTAGTTGTCAAAAATTCGGCCCCTTCTTGGGTGCCTTAAATATTAGGTGCCGTATTATATTAAGGACCCAAAAAGGGACCCTAGTTTTGACAACCACCCATATCGCCAGATCCCGACTTGGGGCTTGTGCTGGTGCTTCTGCAGAGCTTCATGGTTGGAAGTTCGAAGTTGGACTGCCTGAAAAGAGCATGGTGTCGTCATCCTCATGCTCGTAGAACGAACGAATGGCAGGACTAGCGGACTACGGGAAATCGTGCTTCAATTGTTCAGTTTAGGCTTGGTTTCACATCATCGTGAAGCATGCATGGCAAGCTGAGGCTGAATAGCGAACCCTCGGCCGCAAACAAAATCATGTCGGGGTTGCCACAGCTGTAGCGTAGCCGTACTGCAGATCTACTTCTAGATCTGCTTCTGGAGCACTTGCAGTCGAGCACGCCTGCCCGACGTCGGGATAAAAGTTGAGGTGATGAACATGGAGATTCTGCGGAATTTTCAAGCTAAGCTGCCTTCCCAAGCTCAACGGGACAAAGGGGCGCGGTCGTTCGGACATGGGCAGTTGACCCTCATCCCTAAAGCCCTTGATGAAAAGCCTCCAGAAGTAGCAGGGTCAGCCCTCTGCTCGCGAACTGGTCGCAGAGCTGTCCGCAGCTCAGCCGCGCAAATGCACTGCAGCTATCAAGATGTTTATTATTAATATTATTACTATTATTACTATTATTGCTATTATTGCTATTATTACTAGTATTACTATTATTATTTTTTATGTTTATTTTTACTATTATTACTATTATTACTATTATTACTATTATTACTATTATTACTATTATTACTATTATTACTATTATTACTATTATTACTATTTTTACTATCATTACCATTATTACTATTATTATTTTTTATTTTTAATTTTACTATTATTACTATTATTACTATTATTACTATTATTTTTGTTAATATTATTACTATTATTATTATTATTAGTATTTGCCTTCGAGGCTTCGGACTTGGGCTCGGGTTTTGGGGTTTGTGGGAGTGCGGAGGCGTGGGGGGAGGGGCTTCGGGTGGGGATGGGGTCTGCGAGTCGAGTTGGCTATAATAATAATAATAGCAACAAAAAATAATAGTAATAATAGTACTAATAACCATAGCTTCATAATTAACATTCCCTTTTGGGTGTACGTCTACCCAGCCTCCAATCGCCATGCCGCCATGCCAAAGCTGCTTTTCGACTGGGTTTTCAACGGGTCTGTACCTCCCCACGCATTATCCATCCCTGATGTTGCATTGTGAGGCGGCTTGGCCATGCTCTTCTCGATGCAACAAATGCACTACCACATTCATGCACAAGGATACTATTGCTACTATTCTGTTCCATAGGCCCATGTCTGTGTGACTGACTGCCACGCAGGACTTGTTTTACTCTTGTACTGGCCTAGTGATACTGATACCAGCACTTATATCCATATTAATACTAATACTAATACTAATACTAGTAGTAATACTATTACGAATACTAATACTAGTATGTAACTGTAAGCCTTCTGCGCCGACTGAAAGAGGGTTGTTCCCAGGTCCGTGTCGATGTACCTGAAAGTTAGAGTCTGCAAAGAAGTGCAACATGTGATCGACAGACGTGGGAGGGTCAACTACATTAGACCTTTCCGGAAGCAAAAACGCCATGAGTTCAATGAGTTTTGCCGACTTGCCCGAAATCCCAACGATGATTCCACAAGTTGGACGCGACCCAGGACGAGCATCGCTCGTCGGTGGAAGCGTTGCGATGCGGTGGTCACCAGCCTGCAAGACATCTCTAGATTTGTTGATCGTCTATGGTGGCTTCAGGTTCTCTGTAAAGTCAGCGAATGTCCAAGGCGTGGCGTTCCGGATTTCTCTTCAGCTTGCATAGTCAGATGGAGTTTTTGGACGCTGGGCATGGTAAGGTTCAGGCGTGGGCATGCGGCCAATAGATAGTATTGTTTGAAACATCCTGTCTTGAATTCTTCGGTTCCAGCGATTGCCTTTGGACCATGTCCTCCTCAGGCGGCTTGCTCTTTGCTGCTGTACAGCGAGGCACCCGGGCAGGACTCTGGTCAGTTGGCCCTCTGATCAGCTAACGAGCAGATGCAGGTTCGTTCGAAAGTCAAGGGCCCTCGAAGACCTAGTGCACGAACCTGGTTCGGAATTTGCTGTCGCCATGTCGACTTGATTCTCGACATTGGTTGATGTGCAGCGGCGTAGTAGAGGGAATTCTCCCCGGCAAGGATCTCGAGCGCGTGCTGATTCATCATAGAGTTCAAAGATTTTTACCGATGGGCAGCGGGTCAATGTGCAACAGAGAAGCGTGCTCAAGGTCTATCGGCGACCCAAACCCTTACTGTAGCATCCTGAAACCATACTATAGGGGCCTTAACAATTAGAATAGGGTTTCGGGGTAGATTACACTATAGTTCTCCTAAGGAGCCCCCCAAACCCTATTCTAATTATTAAGGCCCCTACATAACTCTAAGCCCTCACTGTTAAAGCCTGAAGCCCGGCAGCCTTAGCCCAAAGTTGGCCCTCATTGCGAGAGGCACTGCCCGGCTGTCCTAGCGGCGGCTCAACGCAGGACGGGAGGGGGGCCCAGGTTAAGAGAAAAGCAGACCGGACAGTGACTCGATCCACAGGCTGGTGCACTAGTGCAACCACGTCGTCCCGTGGTACTTTGCTGTGGCAGTTTACAGTGCGACGATGTCGTGGTATTTTGGTATAGGATCTTGGCAGGTAGTCGAATTTGATCATGCAGCACAGGAGCGCGAATTGTAAATCTGTGCAGCAGCTGGAGAAGAACACTTGCATGACGTACCCTAAACCCAAACCCTAAACCCTAAACCCTGAACCCTTGACCCTAAACCCTAAACCCTAAACCCTAAACCCTATACCGATCGTGACAGCACCAAATCATCGACCTCGATGCTGCAGAAGTATGTGACAGCATTGCCGTTTTGCCCCCCGGGATGTATGCCGAGTTACGTTGCTTGTTTATATGCTACTAGCATGCTTGGCTATGCTATATTATGTTGCATTGCGTTGCATTGTGTTGTGTTCTGTCTGAGTGTGTGTGTGTGTTGTATGTTGTGTGCGTTATGTATTTTATGTATGTATGCATGCAAGTACGTATGTAAGGTACAAGTAAGGTAGTGTAACGCCGGGCAGTTTAAGGTACATAGAAATCTACGCATGTACGTAAGTAAGTTAGTGAATGAGTTAGTTAGTTAGGGAGCAAGTATGTATGCATGGATGCATGTATGGATGTATGTATGCATGTATCATGAATGCTACACCCCACGTTGACCCATATCGTACCCGAAAATAGCCTGTGCGACTGTTTCGTACTTGCGCTGCTTTATTTCTCAGAATATTTCATTGCACTCACCCCTACTACCATCCTTCACGCATCTCTTGGCTGCGTGGCTTTGTCACACGAATGAGTTTGGATTCTCGTGATGTATGCTCGACCATCCGCTAGCTTTTGCAACGGAACTGCTTCCACCACAAAGGGCGCTGAGCTTTGTCAAGCGCTTCGCCAGCGCTTGGGACGAGAGGGTCGCTCAGCTTGAATGCCAGTGCGAGAGGTTGCGAAACCCTACATGAACCCTCCCAGGCACTGGGCATTAGCATGCTTCTCTGCCACTGGAATCGAGCCTCTAACATTGGAATAGGTAGCAGTGATGGGTCGATCTCTATTCCGATGTTGTGCAGAAGCGCGTGAACGATGATTTCATACTGTGCACTGCAGGCGTCCTGCAAGCAGCGTGACAAAGGGCAAAGGATTCAAAGGAATTCTTCCACTCAAAGAGACTACGCAGGATCTTTCTGATTTGCTCAGCTTGCTGCTGACACAGCTACAGGACCGTTCCAGCGACAGAGCTAGCAAGCATGAGGGAGCTATAAGTCTCAAGTTCAATTGGTTTATTCTGGTACCCTTGTCCTTACGTGCCTTACATCTATCCCTCTAAGGCTTCAACACGCAGAGACTGCGCACTCATTCTAAAACAGCTTTGTGCCGTAGCACTAGCAGAATGCTGCCGATTGTCGTGTGGCCGTCAGATGCCCCATAACACGAAGACTCAAGGTAAGGGAGCTACGGTTTCTGTGATGGGCCTGCCCCGGTGTGGCACGGTGCGTATGAGGCTGGGAGCAACGTCGTGTGCACGCCAAAGACATGCTGCAGCGGCTGAAGGATGCTCATGAGGCCACCACTACCCATCACTATTTAGGGGTTTAGGGGTTTCGGGTTTAGGGTTTCGGGTCCCTAAGGCTTTAGGGTTTCGGGTCCCTAAATCCTAAACCCTAAACCATTGCACTTTTAAAAATCCCTAAACCTTGAGTCTTTGTTGTGCTTTATCCCAAGAAAGAATGCCCGTGACCCTGAAGAGGTGCCGCCTCGCTTCTACTCCGTGTTACAGCGGACGGCCCGGTCTGAGGGCGTTCAGAGTCCAGGGCATCTGAATTTCCGGTTTTTCAGGACTGGACTGGGTTGTCCTTTGGGATCTTTTTTAATTTCCCCTACTATTTTGTAGAGAACCATAATACTGTTGATGGACAAAATCCTGCACTACCCTTTTTAAGGAATATACCATAGTTCCCATAGTTTCGAGTCCTTAGGGTCATGCAGGATTTTGTCTATCAACAGCAGTAATGAATTTTCAAAGGGCTTAAAGGACAACTGCGAAGACCCAGCCTCGAACCGGAGAAGGGAGGCATGGCGGTGTTTGCACTAGGGTTTAGGGTTTAGGGTTTTCTGAAGTATTGAATGCAAGAGAACTATATATATATATATATATCTACACACACACACATGTATACGTATAAAGAGATTCTGCCAATGACTTCCCAAGGCTCCTTTGCTCCTAATGACTAGAGGACCTTTGCCTTGAGCATAAGCCTAGCGGCAAGTGTCGTCAATCTCGTTTGCGACCTTTGATCGCAGTACTGTAGTCTTCATTAAGACGACTGCATCAAACTGCCAGGAAAACTTCCTAAAACCTGTATCAACTCCCGACTCCCACTACTGGGTCCCATCACCCTTACACAGGGCTGCGCCCCAGAACTGGCAGGTCAGCGTTGCCTGCGTGCACAAGGATGGCCCGGGATCCCGGTTCTTGCGAAGCCCGGTCCAGCGCGAAAGACTAATAAGGGGGCTCAAACATTTATAAGTACTATTTTGGGAGTTCCTGGTTCAAGTTATGTAATTATTGTATAATACTCCAAAACCCTAAACCATCCTAGCCCCCCTAAATCCTAAACCCTAAACTGCCTGCATCCCAACCCCCTGAAATCCCAAACCCTAGACCCTAAACATTCCAACTACTCAGCACAGGGCAGGCGAAAAAGAGGGATCAACAATAAAAGAGCCAAAACCCTCTAAACCTCCTTAAACCCCCAAACCCCCCAAACGCCCGACCCAGGCCCATCTTCAGAGCTTCAGTCCCTCATTGCCGCGACCGCAGCAGCAGTTTGCCGCTGCGATCCGGAGGTGCGGCTGGCATTCGAATTCGGATCGTTTAGGGGTTTAGGGATTTAAGGGCATGCGTTTTCTTGGCAGGTGCTTCCGGGCATTGAGGGTTGCAGGATTAGGGCCGTTTCGTAAAACGTTGGGGCTTGAGGGTCGCAGTCTGGGGTTTCTCTTGATTCAGACATTGTAGGTATTTGGAGTGTTGTTCAGGAGGCCAGCTCGGTTCGGGGGCTTCAGGGTTTGGTTGGCTTCCGGCTTGAGGGATTTGGCTTGTATCGCAGGTCGAGGGCTTTGTCGCTGTAGAGGTTGGCGAGTCTTGAAAGCAAGTTCTTGCCATGTGGATAATTGCATGCCGTGCCAAGCCCCAGTCAGTGTTTCAGTGCAAATGCGTAGCAGTGAAAGAAGCCCGTTCGTTTTGTTCGAACCACCATGTGCAACCAAAAGCCTCCCTTCAGACTTCAGAGTAGTTGGCGGCATTACAAGGCCGTGAATGCCTTCACCTTTCCCAGAGACTCCACTATCCCTTAATTAAAAATATTCCTTAAATCGTTACTAAGGATCCTACTATAATTTAAGGAATACTGTATTCCTTAATTAGGGGATATTGGAGTCTCTGGGTTCTGTTCTTTGCATTCTTACTTGGAACAGCGTCTTCCGCTAATGTGCTCTCAGAGCAGCCCCGAAACTCGAGATGGGTGCCTTCCTGGCGAACTCACGAGCGTCTCGTCCCGAGCCAGGGTTCGTGCCCTATTTGCCTTGCGAGATGGACCCCAGAAGACAGGTCCAGGGACTGGGGGCCTGGGTGGTACCAAAAATCAATGCTAATGATATCAATAATAGTATGAAAGAATAGTATCAATAGCAACGAATAATACAAGAATAGTAAAAGCTATGGTGATGTGGACGTCTAGTCAGTTTCAAGCAGAGCGGGCTAAAGTCTGTAGTGGACACTGCATCAGCTCACGCGAGAATGCAATTGGCTGGGCTATCCCGTTGCAACGTCACTCCATTGGCCTCAGCAAGCAGCTTCTGCTCGTAACCTTCGCCGAGGCTGTAGGGTTTGCAAAGTGCAGGCACTGCTGGCCCACATATGTAATGGGTAAATGCTGCAGGCCCAAGACCAAAGCCTAGCCGTGGAATCCAGACTCTGGACTCGAAGAAGCACCCCGGAGCTACCACCTTATAATAAAAAAGTATAATGGGCCCCAAGACTCATAGGGATCCTTAGGGGTGTAGGGGGAGGGGGGGTAGGGGGCCTTAAGGCCCATAATAAGGACTAATAAGGCCTATTTAAGGAAATATAGTCCCCTACACCCCTCCCCCCATACACCCCTAAGGATCCCTATGAAAGATCCTATTCTAATAATTAAGGTCCCTATATTATCACCGGAGTTTCGTGACAGCTTGATCGTCCTGTCTTGCGACCACGTTCTCCACGTGGACTGCTTCTGGAAAGTGCTGCTGGGGCTGGAAAACATTCTTTGGGTGCTTAGATGCCGGCATGCTGGCTTCAAGACGATTCTGAGTCAGGTTCGGGTGTATTGGCTGAAGTGTAGTCTTCACTATAGTCTACCTGTGAACCAGCCATAAACACATCTTTGCAAAAGAGGAACTAGCTAGGACCTGGGCGAGATGCGCTCAGATAAGCAGGAGTCTGAGGCCTTGGGCTCTCGGCATCATCAGACCTTGCTCCTCCCTTGGTGCGCTGAGGATTATGTCTTCCGGAGCCGAGACTCTGCGAGGAGCGCAGCTCTTTGATGCTTATGCGCTGCATTGTTGCTATTGAGTTCTGCTCGAGTTTGCAAACTACAGCAGCGTGGCTGACCGACATCAGTTTTCTTCTGACGAGTTGAGAAGCACTAGTCCAGCTTGAAGAAGTGCGAGGGGCGCGCGAGTTGAGTCAACACGTGTAGCGAAGATGTCAACCAGTTGCAGATCTACAGCTGTGGAGGGCAACAGGTTGTGGTATTCAGGCAGAGCCCGCATCTGTGGTTCCAATTGTGTATCCTCGGAGATATACAAGTAGTTACCCAGCCGTTAACGAAGAGTCATGCCCAAGAGCTGAGGCACGGCTTCACCGTGGATCCCATATCTGATATCTCTATCATGTCTCATGTTTGCACAGAATTCTTGTACTTCAGGGTACTCAGTAGTACTACAGCGACGAGAACGTTCGGCTTGAAGTTGTCTCATTCTGGAAAGCTCTCCCCTAGCTGTACGAGTGCGACTGCATTAACTGCATGGTACCGAGCTGCGGTCGGGAGGGCAGGTACACGTATGGCCAGAAGATAACACTAGACCACCCCAAACCCCAAGCTGAGAAGTATCCTCCTTCGGCTTCCCAAGCCTGCGTCATTTCACAGGATGCTGCCGAATCTGCACCCAGCCCGGCGCTGAATGCCTGCAGATCCCTTCAGTCTCGAGTGCTTTGCCCTACTTGCTGCTTTTGCTCCTCAGTGGAACAATTGAACAGAAATGTAATGTGCCCCATGAGCTTGCGAACGATGTCGGCTGACGGAATTCTTTGGGTTCATTGCTGGACCAGCACATCAGCATGCTCTGTGCTTCACCTAACCGTACCTAGCCCACGATATTGATCACTCAGTTTTGAATGTCGGAACTGGCCTGTCTAACCTTGCTCAAGCATCCCTAAACCCTAAACCGCCAAAGCCCTAAACCCTAAACCCCACTGGAGCTCTCCGGCTGTACCGCAGACGGAAAAAGGCCCTCAAAAAAAAAAAACCCTAAAACCCTGAACTACACCCTAAACCCTAAACCCCTGAATCCTGCAACCCTGCAACCCTAAAACCCTAAACCCCTAAACCCTAAAACCCTAAAACCCTAAACCTCTAAACCCTAAACCGAGCACACACAAGGCGCTCCCATTGGGGCCCTGTGGCTCGGGGCAACTTCCGCTGCATGCCGCTGGGCAAGCATGCAGGGCTTGGTGTTCGTACATGAACGGTTTTGGGGTTTAGGGTTTAGGGTTTAGGGTTTAGGGTTTAGGGTTTAGGGTTTAGGGTACATGTGGTTGGTTAAAATTAGGGTCCCTGTTTGGGTACTCTAAATAATAGGTGCCGTATTATAATAAGGACCCAAAAAGGGACTCTACTTTTGACAACCACCCACATATGTCGGAATGCGTAGGGATCCGGAGATTGGGACACAGGTTTTGTTCTCCAAGTTTCTGGGTGGCAGCGTGAGTCTTGGAGGTCGGATCAACAAGAATGCCATCCCAAACTCCGTGTTGCTGCTGTGTTGTGGAGTCAGTACCCATCCAAATTAAATTCCATGTTGCTGCCGTGTTGTGGAGTCAACATGCATCCAAATTCTATGTTGCTGCTTTGTTGCAATACACATCCAGTGTTGAGGATGTGTTTTTCAAGCATTAATCTCATGTTGTGCCAGCATTCAGTACGAAACCCAGAGTTCGGAGGGTCCAAATTGCAACAGCTTTCGAGAGGCATTGCACTGTGTGTGCTTGACCAGTTTGCCGGCCTCAGAAGTTGGGAGGGCATTCCGCATTCTTCATTTGTTGCTGCAGTGTGGGGTCAACACCCATCCAAATTGTATGGTTGCTGTGTTGTGCGCGGTGGGCCCTGGACGGGGGCCACTGTTCAAGGTTTCAAAGGCTCCACGGACCAAAAAATCGGCCTCGTCTGCCGAGGTTACCTTGGGGAACGGGAGGGGAAGGGTCCCATTGCGATGATGGCAGTGGCAGTGGTGCTGCTGCCGCTGTTGCTGATTGGATGTTGGTGGGGCTGTGGGGCTGGTTGTGGTCGTGGTGGTGGTGATGGCGGCGGTGCTGGTGCTGTGGTGGAGCACCGTAGAATTTGGATTGGTACTGATCCAACAACACGCGAACTCCTTGTAATTTAATCTGGATGTGTATGAAGCCACAAAACCGATGTATGGAGTTTGGCTGGGCATTGACCTCACAGCACAGATGCAACGTCATTTTGGATGGGTATTGGCGGCATTGATCCTACAACACCGAGGCAATGTCAAGGGGTGCGACGCCAGAACACATCAGCAAAGTGGCAGGAGGAGATGCACATTCAGCCCACAAAGACTTCCGGCTGGGTAGTACAAATTACAAAACTTGAGGTTGATAATAGTAGTATTGGCGCCACAACATGGCAGTAACCCCCCAGATGCCCCGGCTCTTTGGTACGCGGTAAACCTCTGTTACCCCAAGCACCTCGGCCTTTTCAGGTCGTCTAACCGTTCGTAGCAGCCCCTAAGTATGACCTAAACCGTATGCTCACCCCAAAGCCTGTGGTTTCTTGTTGGAGATTATTATTATTACTACGATTATTATGATTATGAATATTAATATTACTAATAATAATAGAATTATTATTATTCATAATAATACCCTAAAGCCCTGAACCCTTAGGCTCTGCTCGGCAGCTGCAGCGGCGCTGGTCCGGCAGTGCGAAGCGGGAGGCAAGGAGTTTAGGATGCTGAAGGCTTGGAGCGGCTTGGATGGCTTCGGCTTTAGGGGTTTATATAGTGTTTATGGTTGAGGGGTTTAGGGTGGAGGGCTTCGGTTTAGGGTGGAGAGTTTCGGGCTTCGGCTTTCAGGGTTACAAGCTTCAGGTTGAAGGTTTGAGGGTAGGTGCACAGCCCGCAAGAACATCGAGTGCTTCCGGGAGCAGGCAGAGTTAGTATTTATTATTATTACTAATATTATCATTATTATTATTATGAATATTTTTTTACTAATAACAAGAGGAAAAGATGCAAGCAGCTTTGCGCAGCTCATCTCCCGAAGCTTCTGTTCCGAGTACGCAGGCGGGCTCACTTGTGAGGAGCTTGCAGAGTACTGCCGACGCATCGCCAAGGAGAGATATAGCTAGTAATAATATTAGTAATAATAAGAATGATAATTATAATAATAATGATATAAGAATAATAACATTAATAATATAATAATAACATCAACAAGAATAATAATGGGGCTTTAGGGTATAAACTTTGGGGTTTAAGAGTTTGGGGCTTTGCGGAGAGCACTAACTTGGCAGCCAGACACTCTGTTTTTCAATGTTTGTTGAAGCTGGTCGGTGACAGCTGACGCAGGGGTGCATGAGGCCTGCGGCCCCAAACCCTAAACCCCTGAACCCCTAAACCCCTAAACCCTAAACCCCTAAACCCCTAAACCCCTAAACTCTAAACCCCTAAACCCCCCTAAACCCTAAACCCCTAAACTCTAAACCCCTAAACCCCTAAACCCCTAAACTCTAAACCCCTAAACCCCTAAACTCTGAACCCCTAAACCCCCCTAAACCCTAAACCCCTAAACCCCTAAACCCCTAAACTCTAAACCCCTAAACCCCCCTAAACTCTAAACCCCTAAACCCCTCTGAACCCCTAAACCCCCCTAAACCCTAAACCCCTAAACCCCTAAACCCCTAAACTCTAAACCCCTAAACCCCTAAACTCTGAACCCCTAAACCCCCCTAAACCCCAAACCCCTAAACCCCTAAACCCCTAAACTCTAAACCCCTAAACCCCCCTAAACTCTAAACCCCTAAACCCCCCTAAACCCTAAACCCCTAAACCCCTAAACCCCTAAACTCTAAACCCCTAAACCCCTAAACTCTGAACCCCTAAACCCCCCTAAACCCCAAACCCCTAAACCCCTAAACCCCTAAACTCTAAACCCCTAAACCCCCCTAAACTCTAAACCCCTAAACCCCTCTGAACCCCTAAACCCCCCTAAACCCTAAACCCCTAAACCCCTAAACCCCTAAACTCTAAACCCCTAAACCCCTAAACTCTGAACCCCTAAACCCCCCTAAACCCCAAACCCCTAAACCCCTAAACCCCTAAACTCTAAACCCCTAAACCCCTAAACTCTAAACCCCTAAACCCCCCTAAACCCTAAACCCCTAAACCCCTAAACCCCTAAACTCTAAACCCCTAAACCCCTAAACTCTGAACCCCTAAACCCCCCTAAACCCTAAACCCCTAAACCCCTAAACCCCTAAACTCTAAACCCCTAAACCCCTAAACTCTAAACCCCTAAACCCCTCTGAACCCCTAAACCCCCCTAAACCCCTAAACTCTAAACCCCTAAACCCCTAAACCCCTAAACTCTAAACCCCTAAACCCCCCTAAACCCTAAACCCTTAAACTTCAGAGTTTGGAGTTTCTCCTGGGACTGGGGAGCTGCTGTGAGGAGATTGGCGTGACCTACACCGCGACCTTGCAGGAGTTGGCCAAAGAGATTCGGAAGAAGGCCGTTCCTGCGATTTAGGGTTTAGGGTCCTATAGTCTCCAGGGGTTTAGGGTTCTATAGTCTCCCGGGGTTTAGGGTTCTATAGTCTCCTTAGGAATGTTTTTTAAAGTGTTTGTGTTCATGGAGAACCCAAGAAAAGATTAAACATACTACTTTTTTAATGGTTCTAAGGGGGGGTATAGTCCTGCAGAGGAAGTCTGGGTAGTTGTAGCAACCTGATTAAGAAACACTGGGCCTATAACCCCAAAATAGTAAGATTCGTACAAGGAATACTAATAAAGGCCCAAGGTTTCTTAATCAGGTTCCTACGTTATTATAGTACCCTTGTAGATCCCTTATAGATCCTTTATAGTAGCCCTTATAGACCCCTTGAAAAGCCCCCAAACCCCAAACGGGTGCAAAGAGTGGAAGCCGTTGCGCGGTTTTCGGAAGTCGAGCGCTTCGGAGGCTTGCAGAGTCCGGCGAACGTGAAGTAATAAGTTCTGCCCTAAAGCTGTTTCGGGCCTGCGCCGGTCTGCCCCCTGACAGCTGGGAATGGCTTGAAAACTGGACATTTTCGGTTTCAGTGGTGGCATGTTCTGCTGCTTCCATTGACTTGTTTAGCTGTGCCAATTCACTGGGTTTAGCGAAGTTCCCCATATCCGCAGCTGCCGCTGCAGTTTGATCAACATTCCATTTTCACTTCACTTAAACCCGAGACCCCAACATTTGCATGTAGCGCCTGAAAGCCATGTATCCCCACGATCTTGAGTTGTGAATTCTCGGAAGGGCACAAAGCTTCCGGTGGCAGAGATGGCAAAGCTGGAGAGGTCCCTGACCGGGCAAAGTGTTCAAGGTGTAAGGTTGAGGTACGGAGTGTGGGGGCTCAGGGAGATTAGGGAGATGACGGTTTTGTGTTCAGGCCCATGTTGTTGTAAAGCAAAGGGCAGCAAGAGCAAAGGTCGCAGCATGCAGAGGCACAGGCCTCAGCCCAAGGCAAACAGACCCCGGAATGACAGCTCATAAACCTGGACGTCGCAACCGGCTGTTTGCTAATCCTCGGTTGTCAAGCTCGCGAACTCACTGTGGTATCTATCTTCATCCTCGGCAACCCCAAAATCTCAATGAAAATGCTGAATACTCCGACAGCGGCACCCCATGATTTGGGAGGCTGGTCAGCAGCGCAGCCGAAGTTTCCCCGGATCGCATATCCTGAATCCCGGAAAAAGAATAGTTATATGCTTGAAGATTTTACGAATCACATGTCATACCTTCTCGACTTCTCAAAATCACGGTCGGAAAGAATTGTTTTGCGAATTGGGTGTTTCTGGTGGTTGGTCAAAGAAAACTGTCCTGGACCTTTGTGTTCGGAGAAAACTCTCCTGGGATGTGGTGCTGTTGGCTGGTCGAAGAAAACTGTCCTGGAACAGTTCCTCATGTCCGGTCGGGGGAAATAGTCTTGGGTATGTCGTGCTTTTGGTGGCTGGTCAAAGGCAACTGTCTGGAATAGCTGGTCAGTATGCCAGGTCGGTGGGTGTGTGATAAGTAAAATCTGGAAGAACTGTATCTGAGTGGCCGATGAAAATTGTGTTTGGCATGGGGTGACTTTGGTGACTGGTTGGACAAATTGCGCTTGTATCTCCGATCGGAGCTTTTAGTAATTCATTGGTCAGAGAGAAATGTTTGAATAATTGAGCCTTCATATTTTGTCCTAGAGATATCGACTTTCAAACACAAATTTTTTGATACTTATCTTGGTATAGGCGGTATAGGAACGTCGCGATACTAAACATAGT